ATCCAGAAGTAAGGACACCTGGGTTGCTCAGTTGGCTAGGCCACTGCCTTCGGCTTGGGTCATGATCCTGGAGTCCTGGGATCGAATCCTGCATCGGGCTCCTTGCTTGGCAGGGAGCCTGCTTCCTCCTCTCTCTCTGCCTGCCTCTCTACCTGCTTGTGTGTATTCTCTCTCTCTGACAAATAAATAAAATCTTTAAAAAAAAAAAGAATCCAGAAGTAAGTGATTATATTTATGTAATCAATCGATTTTTGACAAGGGTGCCAAAACCATTCAACGGGGAAAGAATAGTCTTTTCAATAAATGGTGCTTGGACAACTATTCACATGCGAAAGAATGCCGCTGAACCCCCTTCCTCACACCGTACAAAAAAAGTAACTCGAAATGATTCACAGACCTGGCCCGGAAGTGGGCAGGCCCAGTGAGAGACAGGGATGAGAATGAGCATCAGGAGGACGTGGCACAGACAGCCATGTTGACGCCTCACCTTTCCATTCTGCTGCCTTTCCCGCCACCACTGACCCCCAAGGATCATCTGCCCTTCGGTGCAGATTAAGAGCAAGTAGCAATTGGGCGGACAAGAATGGCATTGAAACATGTCCAGCAACAAGTCCTTTGGAGGATTTCAGAAAGTTTTTTTTAACATGACAGTGCTGAACGGAAATGCAAAATGAAATTTGCTGTCCACTTACCACCAAAGGCATAAACTGGGAAATGCCCTAGTTCAGCTCAAACAGAACCAAATTTTATATGAAATTCTGTTTGTCATCAAGTGGCTGCGGAATGTGGCCTTGTCGGCACTGGCCCACATACCAGTCCTCGTGGCTGCAATGCCCGGCCTGCGGCTCTGGCACCCGAGCTGGGCTCTGTGGGGTTGCTGCTGAGGAGCCTTGGAAAACCAGGGGCAGGATGCACTCTGCTGCAACCGAGGGGCTTCCCCAGCTCATAAATGCGAATTTTCCAGCAGACCCCCGAAGGAGGTCTATTTTTGGCTACCCCGTCAGAGGCCATGGAGCTGATTTGTGCCTGGAGGAATCCTGGAAAACATAAACCTGGTCAGCATTTGCTCCATTTTGCACCACTGTGCTCTGTCCTTGGGGGAGTAAAGAGCCTCTCGTGGATATTTGTAGACAGAGCAAAGTGAGCAGAAGGCTTATGATGGACCCATCTTGTGAAGTCCTGACCACCTGATCAAGGAGAAGACCGGTTCCTTTCAGACGGGCAGTCACCTCCTGATAACCTCCTCACCGTCTGTTGTTTCTGATTACGAGAGGGTTACGATCACAGGTTCTATTTCATGGCACATCACACATTCTGCATGATTACAAGAATGCATGAGAAACTCCAGGTAAGAGAATTTCTTCAGAATTATAAAATTGTTATGAACAGAACTGCAGGGGGAAAGTATTTGAAAACACTGGATTGCACAGTGCTAAAAGTGCATAGTGGAATCGTAATTGGGTCACTTTCTGAATCTATAAAATCTGAAAAAAAAAAGTTTCATAGGCTGACACGTAAGAGCTAAGAGTATACGACTCAGAAACACAGAAGCCAATCTTTGTGACTTTGGGCTGTGCAAGTGTTCCTTAGATAGGACACCAAAATACAAACAGCAGAAATGGAAAAAAAAAAAAAACCCTGGCAAATTTAACTCTATCAAAATTACTAACACATAGCTACACACAATACCCAAGAAAGTGAAAAGACTACCTAAAGAATGGGAGAAAATCTTTGCAAATCACATGTCTGGGGGCACCTGGGTGGCTCAGTGGGTTAAGCCTCTGCCTTCAGCTCGGGTCATGATCCCAGGGTCCTGGGATCGAGCCCCACAACAGGCTCTCTGCTCAGCGGAGAGCCTGCTTCCTCCTCTCTCTCTGCCTGCCTCTCTGCCTACTTGTGATCTCTGTCAAATAAATAAAATCTTAAAAAAAAAAAAGTCAGTGGTGGTTTTTTGTTGGCAGGGATGCAGAGAAGAAGGAACTCCCAGACTTTGCTGGTTGGAATGTAAAATGGTGCAGTCGCTTTGGAAAAGTCTGGCAGGTTCTTGGTAGAGTTTTAGGACCCAAAAATTCTACTCCAAGGCATATACTCAAGAGAAATGAAAACATGCTTCCACATAAACGCTTACATGTGAATGTTTCCTTTACGTGTAACAGTGGAAACCACTGAAATGTCCATCAGTTGATGAATGGGTTCCAAACACGTGGTCTGTCCACACGACAATATTATTCAGCTACAAGAAGTGAATACTGACACGTGTTACAAGAGGGACAGCCCTCAAAAACATGCTGGGGCGCCTGGGTCCTCGGTCAGTTAAGCATCTGCCTTCGGCTCAGGTCATGATCCCAGGGTCCTGGGGTTGGCTCCCTGCTCAGCACAGAGGAGGCTGCTTCTCCCCCTGCTTGTGCTCTACCAAATAAAAATTTGTTTTTGCCTGCTAAATGAAAGAAGGCAGGTGCAAAATGCCACAAACTGTAGGATTCCAGGTATATGATATGTCCACAGTAGGAAAATCCAGAGAGAAAGGAAGTACGTCAGTGGTTGCCAGGGGCTGGGAGTGGGAGAGAATGAGGTACTGCTCTTGGGACATGATTTCTTTCTGGGGTGATGAAAATGCTCTTGAGTCAGAGTGGTGCATACTTTACAGGGGTGCATCTTAGGATATATAAATCCCAATGAAGTCTTTTCAAAAGTGCAATCAGTTGCTTTTTAAAAAAATAATTCAAAAGAACCAATATGTGCTTTAAATTACAATACAGGTGCATGGGTTCACTCAAACCCTCCCAGGGGGTTTGACACTTGCTGGCAGCCAGTCACTGACACACACTACTCCCATGACAGTGGTTTTCCATCTCAAGTGTTGCAAGAGGAAGTTTTATCTTCACTGCAATTCTTTTCCAACCAATTAACTACCACCCGAAACTTGTGAGATTTAATATCCCGCTGCTAAAATGATAAAGATAGCAATATAAATGAAACTATTAAATAAAAAACGTTACGAGATGAGATCCTTTCGGAATTCTGAAAACGTTTCATCCAGGTGGCTCGGCTAGGTCACCTCTGCACCCTGTTACTAACGTGTGCCCGCCTGGCCCGGCCAGAAAGGGCTGCGGTCACAGCAGACACAGACTCTGCAGGGACAGCGGGCTGCCTGTGGGCCCACCATCACAGGGTGGAGGGGAAAACGCTGGAAAGCCCGCCACCAGCAGCCGGGACATGTTGGAAAACGCTTCCTGGTTTCTTGTTGGCTGGCCGGCTGGATCAGGAGAAAGCGTGCACACAGTGCCACACTACCACACAAATGATGCGGTCGCGTTTCCCACACAGGGGACACCGCAGGGGTGAGCAGGCCCGCAGTGCAGTGGCTAAGCCCCACCCTGGGAAAAGCACCTGCCTTACCTGTGGAAAACACAAGTTCCCCCCAGTAGCACGTTCGGGTCTGGCTCCTGTTGGCGGCTCCCATCGTGACCGATGGCTTGGAAACGGCTCCAGGTCGTCCACGCCCCCCAGAATGTTACTTAATAAACAGCACCCACTATCTGAGCAAAGGCAAAGAAACACCCAGAACTACCATTCCAGAACAAGAACATATTTATTTAAGTGTGCCAGAAGTCCAGGACAACCCGGCTTCATCATTCTGAACACGGGCTACAGCTTCTGCTCTCCCTTCAGAACACACAGTGCGGGAAAACACAGGTGAAAAAGCACGTTCAGTGTACAAGCATTTCTCATTTCCGACCTATGAATTTTATAGCTTCAATTACATCAGAAAAAATAACTTGAGGTTTACTTGCCCAACACAGTAAGTCATAGATCGCTTTAGACGGGCAACAACACGCAGCGTGACCGCTCTGCGCGGGCGGCTTGGCGGGCGTGAGCACACCAGGAGTCGTAGGACAAGTCACGCAGCGTATCACTGACACAAACGACAAGATGGCAAAACCATCAGGGGCCACTTGAGCTATCTATAAATAAAGGTACATGTTACAAAAAAAATCCAACTTTTCACAAATGTCCATAAGGTAGCTATTCTCCTAATCACCAGCGAGAGCAAATCCCAGAGCCGACAGTAAGAACACATCTGTGGGACGCCACAGCCCAACACTGGCCTCCCTCCTAGTCAACTCCTCCAGATGGTCAGGTAACTCAGGATTACGGTGAGCCAAAACAGCCAATGAGCCAAGTTCATGGGAACTACACTGAAGGTCACTTCAAAGCACACAACATCAACTTGAATTCGAGAATGTTAACAATTAAAGGCATAAGGAAAGGAAACCGAAGCTTCTGGCCACTCGCAGTCCTCGCTGGCGGACCTTGCACTTGACCGCAGTGAGCACAGAGGGGAAGCGGCAGAGCATGAACATCTTCAGGTGTATTTGTTGTAAAGGGTCATCATGCAAGGAGACCCGGGTAAGAGCACCACCTGCCCGCCGCGGGGGCCAGCGATGCTCACGAGGGGGCCTGGAAGGCAGCTCCCCGCTCCCGCCCCACACCTCTCTCCTCCTGCCTTTTTTCCTCCCCGACTTCTCCCCATTCCCTCTGCAGACTCAAACCCGCCGAGAAGCCCGGAGGAGCTGGTGAGTGCAGACACGAGGAGCCTGCCGCCTCTGGCCAAAGCCAGGCAGTGGTGCCGGTGCCGATGGGAGTGGCCGGGCCACCAGGAGAAGCAGAAAGCATTCCGGAGCCACTGGCGGGGGTGCTGCCGCGGTTGGCCAAAGCATGAGAGTCTCTAGAATCAGGCTGGGGGTCAGCTTGCATGCTGGGTGGGAGCTGGCGAGCTGCGGCCACACGGGCCCCGGGGCAGGAAACAAGCGGGCCCGTGACAACCCATCGGTGTTGCAGGGATGTCCCTGTGCTTTGTCACCCCAAACGCTCTTGAGTTCACGTTAGTGCCGTGTGGACGAGAACAGAGGGTGAGCGGTGGCTTCCTGAGATGTCACTCAGGAGCCGCAGCGCTGGGTGCGGCCCACGCCAGTCTGGAGCCCCAGTCTCCACAGCTTCGGTCTGCTTTCCACTCCGGGGACCAAAAAGTTTTGATACTGGACAGCGCTCGCCCCCCAACTCCGCAGACAGAGGAGAGAGCACAGCTTCAGTGACTCTGCTTCTTTTGTGGGAAAAAGGTATACTTGGTCGGATTAAACTCTTCCCAAATACGCTCGAATTCTTCCAGGAAAAGCCTCACATACTCCTCATCCTCCATAATCAGGACGTTCTCTCTGTTGTTCTGAATGGCTTGCGTGGTCCAGTTGAGGGAGCCGGTGATCAGCACCTTCTTGTCCACGATAGCGAACTTGTGATGCATGTAGCCCAGGTCCTGGTCATGTCGCACCTGGATGCCTGCGGAAAGGGCCAGTCAGCCTTCGCCACCGCCCGCCACACCCCTGCGCCCACCCTCGCTAGTGGCTACGACTCTGCCTGTTTGCTTCTCATCTGGCAGGAAACGGGAAGCTGGGTCCCCCTCAGGCAGGGGGTGGGGGCTGTGCCAGATGGGACCAGCAGAGGAGGGAGGGCCGAGGGGACAGGAGCAGGGGACACACGCAGACACGCACATACTGATTTCACACAATCTGCCTTCCTGCGCAGAGACCCTGCCCGCACCCAGCCCTGCAATCTGAGGGAGGTCTGCCCACCCCCACTGCTCCAGCACGACCCAGCCAGCACAGTCCTGTTGCTGGTTCCGGGACTAGCCGCCTCTGAATCCGGCCAGGGCAACCAGAACAACCGCCGGCAGGGCTTTCCCACCTTCGAGCTCCTGCCCTGCCGATCCCGGGACCGGAACATGCCAGGAAACACCATGCACGCCAGGACTGCACCCCCCTGGGGAGGGGGTGAGCCTGAAAAGAAGGACCGCAGAAGCCAGGCCCTGGGTGCTTCGGGTGAGGGAGTTGAGCAGCACCGGGCCTACCTGCCGAGAAAACAGGTTCTCCCTGGCTGTGCCTCTGCGGCTCACTGCAAAGCCAGTAATGGCTGCCTTTTGTTTTCCCATTTGTCTCTCTCTTACGGTTTTCAGCCTCCCCTAGGGCAGGACCTGTCTGTCCATCCCCCTCTGCATGGACCCTGGAGTCATGCCAAACTCACTGACAAGCTATCTGCTCGGTGAACGAGACCATTAGAAATAGGACTTAAAAAAAAACCAACAGTTTAAAATAGGCTGCTTTGCAATGGGGCCACCAGGCTTCACAAATAAAAATACAAGATGTCCAAATTAGGATGGGATATCAGATAAACAAATAATTTTTGGAAAATAACTATGTCCCATGCAATATTTGGGACGTACACTAAAAATTATTCATGGCTTATATGAACTTCAAATTTACCTGGGGATTTTGCCCAGCAATCCTGCCTTAAACCCTCCTATCCCAGAGGACCTGGACACCACTTCCCACAGCCTCTAATCGACCCCACCACCAAATCCTGTCAGCTCTACCTTCAAAACAGGTCTTAATCTGACCATTTTGGGGGCACCTGGGTGGTTCAGTCAGTCAAGTACCTCACTCTTGATTTTGGCTCAAGTCATGATCTTAGGGTTGTGGGATCGAGCCTGTGTCAGGCTCCAGACTGGGCTTGGAGCCTACTAACATTCCCATCTTTCCTTCTGCCCTCCCATATCTGACCATTTCTGCCCCCCTCCAAATTACCATAGGCTCTCCCATCCAGTGGGACACCCAGAGCACACTGTTACACTGAAGTTGAGGAGGAAATACAGAACTCACAGGTAGGCCCAGGATCTGAATTTAGACCCTCTTCGAAATCATTCCTACTTCCCACTTCATCTGCCCCCACCCCAGAGGCAGAGAAAGGCCAGTCAGAGGTGTATGTCATCCCTGTTTTTTGAGCTCGAGGAACAAGTTAACTATTCACCAACTAAACATTTTAACTGCATTTTTTAGCATCTTATTTTTATTCACTTCAAAAGCTCTAGCATGAAATTCACTAGTGCAGTTAAAATGAAATGCCTTTTTCCTTCTGTAGCCCCTCGTTGTATTAGCCCAATCTTTGCCGTCTTGGGGCACCTGTTCCCAAGCACATAGTCACTGAGAGTCTGTTAGCGGGCAGGCTTGACCCTTCATCTCCTTAGGACTGTCACGCTAGGCCACTGTCATTTCAGTCTGCAACAGTCAGAAACAGCTGACCGGGCTGCATGCCCAGCTCTACCTGCCATAGGCTTTCCCCAGTGTCCCAAGGCCAACATGGATCACGAGAATGTGGGAATCAAAGGAGTGTGGTGGCTTTCCCAGTGTCACCGGGCAGGCCCCCAGCCTCTGAGAACGCCCCAGATCTTCCTCCACCGGCTGGGGAACACATTCAGATATCCGCAGCACAGAAGCGCAACCACGGGGCTAGAGCAGGTGCTCTCTCCGGATGGCCCTGGAGTCCCTCCAGGGTAGAACCAGCCCGACCTCACAAGGCCACCATGGGACATGAAAGGGTCTCACCCATCCTCAGACCCCAGTAGTATCCGCCTTTGACATTGCCCCCTGGGTCAGGTCACGCGCCAGGTGGGGTGTGCTCCCCAGAGGGCTCCGCGAACCTGAGCTCCAAACCTGGGTCCTGGCCTCTGCGGCCTGGCCTACCTGCCTTTCGGAGCAGGCCGATCTGTGAGCCGTTGAGAGCCATGTAGTCGCAGTCGGTGATGACCCGGATGCACACCCCGCGCTGGTGCAGCAGCTGCACCGCACGGCCCAACTGCGGGCTGGAAAAGGCAAAGAGGCAAAGCTCCAGGCTGGCGCGGGCGGCCAACAGGGCGCGCAGCAGGCGGCTGAGCGAGCTCTCGCCGTGGGGCAGGCTGCAGGGGCAGCCTGCCGGGGGCCCCGACGGCCCCTCACCGGGAGCCTGCAGCAGGGCCTCGGTGCAGGTCACCTGCGACGGGAAGAAGAGCACCTCGCGCCGCGGCGACCTTCGCCGCTCTTGCCGGCGCCCGGCCCGCAGCCAGTGCAGCACGGAGGGCAGCGCCTCCAGGGCCAGCGCCAGACCCAAGGTCGCCACGGCCACCACCTGCCAACGTAACCGCTCCATTCCGACTCGGCCCTCCTCGGCCCGCGGCCCACCGCGCCTGCACTCCCGCAACCACGGACACCCGCCGCCCCCCACCAACCGCTACCCCACACGCCGGCGTCCCCGCCGGCCACGTACGTGCGACGCCCTCCAGCACACACGCCACCCGACACGCATGCGCGCCCGGAGCCCTCTACAGCTGCCTCCTTGCCCACCGCGCCTGCGCGACCCCAGGCACGTGCGCCCGCCATCCAAGCACCGCCCACCGGGCCTGCGCACTTGCCAGCCACGTGCACCCGACCTTCCCCTCTACCACCCGCATACACCACCCAATGCGCCTGCGCTTGCCTCCCAGTTGCGCCTGCGCTCTGGGCCTACACAGTCAATGACTCCCCCACTGCGTCTGCGTACCTGCTGGTCTCGTGCTCCAGGCCCTGCCCTTCCAGCCCCACTGAGATCTATGCATTCCGCTATCGCCTAGACACCGCCTACGCCCCGCGGGGCCTGCGACAACCCAGGCCCTCCTCCCTTTGCAGGGTGGTAGAGCAGGGCTGACCTCGCAGTTCACACTTCCCCTTTTGCTTTGGGTACAGCCAGGGAGGACTGACAGGCCTGGAAACACACTGAGAATGTCAAATAAGGAACACTTAGCCGGTGGCAGGGTTTGAACCCGAAATGTCGCAGACCGTGGTGTGATGGCGACGGCCTAAGTCCAGTGTTAGGCCCCTTATATTTCTACCACCTCTCGCGGTACCAACTTGTTATGTGAAGATGCCCGTTCTGCTTGAGGCATAAACATAGTGAAAACTGGGAAGTCCTTGGTCCTGTCTTAGAAAGCACCAAGCCGGGGTGCCTGGGTGGCTCAGTGGGTTAAGCCACTGCCTTCGGCTCAGGTCATGATCTCAGGGTCCTGGGATCGAGCCCCGCATCGGGCTCTCTGCTCGGCGGGGAGCCTGCTTCCTCCTCTCTCTCTCTCTCTCTCTCTCTCTCTCTCTCTGCCTGCCTCTCTGCCTACTTGTGATCTCTGTCTGTCAAATAAATAAATAAAATCTTTAAAAAAAATATCAAACTTACACCTTCCATCTGATCCAGCTATCCCACTCCTAAATCTCACCCAAGAGAAATGAAAGCATGTGTCTATGTATTTACACAAAGACTTGAACTCAGATGTTCCCAGCAGGTTTATGAGTAATAGCCCAAGCCGAGACACAACACCAGTGTCCATCACCAGATAAATAACCAAATCTTCACCCATCTATGGACGGAAGACTATGTAGCAGTAAGAATAAATATAAACCAATATAAACGACCACATGGGTGAATTTCAATAAGGTTGAGTGAAAAAAGACACAACAACATATGCACTGTATGGTTCCATGACATGCAATTCTAGGAAAGGCCAACTAGAGTGACAGTAAGTAAATCTGTGGTTGCCTGGAGGTGGTGGGAAGGGAAGGGGGTTGCCAAAAACACACACCATGATATGTTCATTATCTTAGTGGTGATGTGCAGCTGCATATGTCAAAACTTGTCAGACTGGATGGTTTCAATGAGTATAAATTACTGTATGCCAATTATACTTCAATAACACTGGGTTTTTTGTTTTTTGTTTTTTGCTTTTCTTTAAAACAGAGCTCCTGAGTTTAATTCTGGACCCTCTACTTCCTAGCTGTATGACCAAGAGCAAATTGCTTTATCTCTTTGAGCCTCACTTTCTTCACCTGAAATGATAATATAGAATGAGAAGAGGGACTCCAGTTATGGCAGCATACAGAGGTAGTCAAGTCTTCTGGGTACACACAAAAAAATAAAAAATAAAAAACAAACCAAAAAATCCCACTAAACACACACACACACACACACACACACACACACACACACCCCACTGCTTCAGGGCACCAAAAATCCACCAAAGGCAGACAACCAAATGAGAAGCATCATTTTTTTAAAAACTGCTGCAGCTGAGGATAGGAGTAGCGGGAGTCCCTGGCCCTGTCTACTGAGGCTGCTCCCATCTCTTCACACTTCCAGTTTGTCTGGCAAAAATGGTAGTCTTATCAATGTGGGACTGGCTCCAAAAACCTTTTAGGTTTTTAGTTTTTCTGGAAAAAAGTGGTTGTTCAGTTGGGAACAAACGAACAAACAAACCTGCAGCCTTGCCAGCTTGACCCTCCAGACCAGCCAGGAATATGACAACAAGATCCCGAAATGGAGAAAACCATAGAAAAGCTGACCTACATGCTCCACCCCTCCCTGGCTAACTGGGCAGCTGTGCAGGAATGGGAGAAGCCAGGGAAAAATGAGAGCCAGTGGATGTTTGAAAGGATTCCCAACCCACAAACAGGTTGGTCAGCAGAGGATGGGGAGTCTTATAGGCTCAAAAATATTTGGGTTCAACCTCTACATAAATCACTGGCTGACTACCACATTAGGAAGACCCAGTGGTGACCTTTAGGAATGAGTAAAACTAAGACTTAAAAAAAAAACTAAGCAGACACGCCAATGCCACCCTACAGAGGGAGAGACTCTACATGTTAAGTCCAGGCAAGTTTTCAAAGAAAAACAACCTTACAGAAAAAAAAAAAAATAGAATCCAGAATTGCTCTGCTATATTATCTAAGATGTCCAGTTTGCAACCAAAACTTAATAGACATGCAAAGCAACAGGAAAGTGTGACCAACATGCGGGGAACACAGCAGCCAATGCAAACTGACCCTGAGTGGACACAGGTGTTGGAAATAGTAGAAAAAAACACTTCGAAGCACGTGTTATAAATAAGTTCAAAGAATTAAAGAAAATATAATGATAATGAATCAATAGATACTCATTAGAGAAATAGAAATCATTTTTAAAGTCTATGCAAACTGCCAGTTTCCTCAATTGTAACCAACAACTCTGGTGGGAAATGTTATAATGGGGAAGCAGGGGCACCTGGTTAAGCATCCAATGCTTGGTTTCAGCTCAGATCATGACCACGGGGTCATGGGATCGAACCCTACACTGGGTTCCACACAGGGCATGGAGTCTGCTTAAGATTCTCTCCCTCCCTCTCCCTCTGCCCCTCTACTCATGCACACAGGCTCTCTCTCTCTAAAAAAATTGAGAAAAAAATAATGGGGGAGGCTGTGCCTGTATGGGGACAGAGGATATATGGGAAATCTTTGTACCTTCCCCTCAATTTTGCAGCAAACCTAAGATGTTCTTAAGAAATTAAGTCTTGGGGCACCTGGGTGGCTCAGTGAGTTAAGTGTCTGACCTCAGCTCAGGTCCTGAACTTGGGGTCCTGGGATCACGTCCCACATCAGACTCTGTGCTCAGCATGGAGTCTGCTTGTCCCTCTTCCTCTGCCCCTCCCCCTGCTCATGCTCTGTCTCTCAAATCAATAAATAAAATCTTAAAAAAATAAAGAAATTAAGTCTTTTACACCATGCACAAAAATAAACTCAAAATGTATTAAAGACCTAAATGTGAGACCTGAAATGATAAAACTCATAGAAGAGAATATAGGCAGTAATCTCTCTGACATCAGCTGTAACAACTTCTTTCTAGATATGTCTCCATAGGCAAGGGAAACAAAAGTAAAAGTTAACTATCGGAACTACACTTAAATAAAAAGTTTTGTACAGAAAAGGAAGCCATGAACAAAATTAAAAAGCAATTTATTGAGTGGAAGAAGATATTTGCAAATAATTTATCCAATAAGGAGTTAATACCCAAGTTCTACACCAAAAAAAAAAAATCTGTTTTGGGGCACCTCGGTGGCTCAGTGGGTTAAAGCCTCTGCCTTCAGCTCAGGTCATGATCTCAGGGTCCTGGGATCGAGCCCTGTATCGGGCTCTCTGCTCAGCAGGGAGCCTGCTTCTCTCTCTCTCTCCGCCTGCCTCTCTGCCTACTTGTGATTTCTGTCTGTCAAATAAATAAATAAAATCTTTTTTAAAAAATCTGTTTTAAAAAATGGGCAGAGGACCTGTATAGACATTTTCCCAAAGGAGACGTCCAGACAGCCAACAGACACATGAAAGGATGCTCAACATCACTCAGCATCAGGGAAGCGCAAAACAAAACCACAGTGAGATACCACCTCACATCTATCGTAATGGTTAAAACAAAAAAGACAAGAAATAACAAGTGTTGGTGAGGATGTGGGGAAAAAGGAACCCTTGATCACTGTTGGTACAAATGGTGTTGTTCCTGTGGAAAACAGTATAGAGTTTCCTTAAATAATTAAATATAGAAATACTATATGATCCAGTAATTCCATGACTGGGTATTTACCCAAAGAAAGTGAAAACACTAATTCAAAAAGATATATATATATATATATGTATATATATATATATATATGTGTGTGTGTGTATATATATATATATGTGTGTGTATATATATATATATATATCTCCCTATGTTCATAGAAACATTATTTACAATAGTCATGTATGCAAGCAGCCCAAGGGTCCATCAACAAATGAATGGATAGGGCACGTAGGGGGTCTCAGTTAGTTAAGTGACTGCCTTTGGCTTAGGCCATGATCCTGGAGTCCCAGGATCCAGACTCCCTGCTCAGTGACGAGTCTGCTTCTCCCTCTAATTCTCCCCCATCTCGTGCCTTCTCTCATGCTCTATCTCTCATTCCCTCTCAAATAAATAAAATATTTTTTAAAAAATGATGAACAGATAAAGAAGATGTGGTATGTATATACGATGGAATATTACTCGGCCATAGAAAAGGACGAGATCTTGTCGTTCTCAACAACATGGATGGACCTCGAGGGTATTATGCTAAGTGAAATAAGTCAAGCAGAGAAAGACAAATACCATATGATTTCACTTATGTGTGGAATCTAAACAAACAAGCAAACAAAAGCAGAAATATGCCCATAAATACAGAGAACAAAACCACTCGTTGCCAGAAGGACAGAGATGGGGAAATGGGCAAAATGAGTGAAGGGACGTGGCAAATAGAAGCTTCCAGTTTGGGTGAGTAAGTCACGGGGATGAAAGGCACAGCATAGACAATATAGTCAGTGATATTGTAGTAGGGTTGTACAGTGACAGATTGTAGCTACATTTGTGCATAATGTGCACATGCGTCCAATCACTATGTTGTGCACCTGAGACT